ATAGGATTTCTTCATATCCTCCGAAATCCACTTTTTTTTAGAAGCTCCTTGTTTGGATTTAAAGAGACAGCCTCAAAACGAGTTGACCTGAGACACACCTCAGAAAAGGGGTGAAAGAGGGGCTTGTGGAATTAGAATAAGGAGGAATTCAGTCCTAAGTATTATAGTTCCACTTTATATAGACCCCAACTGAAGGATTAAATTGTGAAAAAGGATTTAAAACATCATGTGTCTACTTTAAAACATAAGCGTTGAAGCTTATGCTTTACAGAGGTATTCTATTTAAAATCTTGGCTCAATCTGGAATATTGTTCTGTGACTTTTGGTAGATGCATCTTGCTCAACACAAGCCATTTTTTTTAAAATTGCCCGGACAGAAAAGAAAAAAGTTATTGGTTTTTTTTTTTTTGGCAAACCAGATAAGCAAACACAGCCTTCTTCAGAGCTCTATCACTCAAACAGGCTCCACAGTGGAGCAGTCTTTAAAAGTTTAAAAGGTCACAGAAAGTTGGACTTTACATGTCTGAGCTGGTATTTTTATATCCTTTTAGAGTTTTCTTCAGAATCACAGTTTGCCTTTCCTGATTTTTCAGTGAAATGTTCAACTGACAGATGTCTACCAAATGTCTAAAATTTTCTAACTTTTGCAAACTTTATTACTCCCACAGCTCTTTTTTWAATCATACAATAAAAAACCTTTTTGTTTTACCTATTTCACCCAATGTGTCATTGCTAATGTTTTTCTGAAATCACCTCAGAATGCAGAAAGGGCACACCTACGCTTTATAGGCTTTAGTTATATTTTAGCTTAAAATATTATGTTCAGAACAGAAAGTGAAGGTTTTTTAACTTTTCAAATTTTATACAAAACAAAATAATACATAAAACTGTAATAATCGACCTTCAGAGAGTCTCACTGCTCTCGGTTTAGGAGTTTTTAGGATCTGACTTCTCATTTCCACACAGTGRCTGTTTGTTTGAGGCTTACTTTTCAGTCTGCCTTTATCTGAYAGTCAGGGAGTGACAGACACAAGTTTGTGGCTGCTATGGTGACCACATTAAACAAAAAAATGTTTAGATCTTGGCTATTTCTTCACTTCCTGGACAGCTCATGCATCAAAATGTAGGCTTTTTTTCCCTTATTTTAGATTAAGACAAAGATATGCTGGAATTTCCGCCCTTCAACATTTCTTCAGAACGTTCGAGTTCACGTTTCTTCTTCTCAGTCCTCCCCCACACGTCCCCTGTGGTGGTTGTAATGGAACACAGGCATGTTTCGGTTTCTTGGGTGGGTTTACGTTTCAGTTCAGACTTGAGTAGAACCCACCCGACTGCACACAAATAAACCAGGATTACAAAGACTGGGACTACTTTTATAAGTTAGGCAGTTTTCATCTTTTCATGCTTTTACACATACTTGTGTTGTTCCTTTTTGAATTGTAAATGCTTGTTTTTAACCGTAATCCACTCTTCATGTGCCGGAAACTACTCATTCATGAAGTCCACATTTAGTTTAGCCTTACAGGGTGAGACATGCTCTCAGAACCAAACCATAAATACGTACAGATGCAGAAACACACAAACATCCAGCGGTGAGTAAGAGTGTCAGTCAGAGGTCAGGGTGGGGGCGAGGCGAGGCAGTATAAGGTCAGGTCTTGTGCTCAGGACAAAGTGACAGCTCACAACAAAARCCTCTCAGTCTGAGAGGCAGAGGAGACGCAGGAACGAGAGAAGCTGAAAGTGGGAAACAATAAAGAATGAGAAACACAAGGAGTGTTTGTGGCTGAGGAGAGAATACAAGACAATTGATAAAGGGTGGGGGAGATACAAGAACAGACTTGTAGGTCGAGAAAGGAGGGATGTTATCAAGATTGAGCCGTGGTGGGCAGGTGGAGGTACAGGCTGGGATTAAAACGGGTTAAGGCACAAAACCTACCCACCTTTTCTGGTAGAAACACCTACCATCAGGGCCAGTTGGGGACCAAAGCCATTTTGGATGAAATACCATTTTTGGGACAGGGGTTTGGTTTAGGATGAAGGTGTGATGTGAGTTTAGGTTAGGGTTAGTTATGTTCTGGTAACGGTTAGATTTAGGCTAAAGGTCATGGTTAGGCTGCAGAAATGAATGGAAGTCAGTACATGGTCCTAATAAGGATAGAAATACACACTTGTGTACATGTTTTTGCCACATGGTGGGGGCGATTTTTGAACATTTTCCCGGGACACACAGCCTAATGAGGACCCATTGTTCCTTATGGGGACAAAAAGCCTGGCCCCCATTGGGAGATATACCATTGGTGGGTCAGGGGTTAGTTTTAGGGTCAGGTGTGTACCTGTGAGGTTAGTTTTAGGGTCAGGTATGTACCTGTGAGGTTAGTTTTAGGGTCAGGTGTGTACCTGTGAGGTTAGTTTTAGGGTCAGGTATGTACCTGTGAGGTTAGGTTTAGGGTAAGGGTTCTGGGTTATGCTATAGAAATGACCAGTACATGAATGTAAGTCAATGCATAGTCCCCATGATGCTAGAAGAACAAACGTGTTTCTCTCTGTCTCTGTCTCTGTCTCTGTGTCTGTGTGTCTCTGTCTCTGTCTGTCTCTCTCTCTCTCTCTGTGTCTCTGTCTCTGTCTGTCTCTCTCTCTCTGTGTCTCTGTCTCTGTCTGTCTCTCTCTCTCTGTGTCTCTGTCTCTGTCTGTCTCTCTCTCTCTGTCTCTCTCTCTCTCTGTCTCTCTCTCTCTCTGTGTCTCTCTCTGTCACAGAAACAGCAGTCATTCAGCATCCTCACAAAGACCCCACTGTACGCTGAGACAGACACCACAGACACTCATCTTGTTCTGTGATTTGAAACTTTCCTCTACTCCGTCTACAACACACATACTTACACACACAGAGACAGACACACACGTCTGTATACTGTTTGAACCCCACACACACTCAGCTTTACTGTCCGAGAATCATTTGATGTTGGACATGTGCTTCCCCCTGCTGGTCAACACGTGTTCTAACAGTCTGACAGACTGGAGCTGAAAAAGTCAAACTTCAAGAGTTCTTAGTTCAGCCACCACACAGTGCATTTAGTTATTTCTTGTTTGAATTATTTAAAAACAGCAGTTTTACATTCACAAATTAACTCTGAGTATATCTAAATATTAGGCTGTTGGGTTGGTGTGGTTCTAGCTGGTTCAAGTGTGGTTCAAGCCTGGGGTTTGGGTAAAGGATGCAGAAGACTTTACCTTTTCTGGAAGTCTAGCAGCAGCAGCTGGTAGCTTCCATAAGCTGTTTGTTTTTCCTCCTCTGGAAACGTGTAATTTGATTTGTTGTGTCTAGAAACCTTGACCCCACATACAGTGTTGTTCTTGTCAAGGTAGTTTTTCCTGTTAAAGCCTGGCTCTCTGTGCCGTGTCAYGGCTCTGTCAGAAACTCATTCTCACCATAAAGTGTCCCAGACCATCCACTTCTGTGCTGCAGACGTCCACCTTACATTTCTCAACATAACATTCTGTTATTTGAAAAATGTGATGTCTGCATCGTGATGCATCTAAGAAAAGATTGCACCCTAACAATGAACGCTGCATTTTAAAAATGAGACACAAAGTTATTCATTTAGCAGCTATAAGACATTGTAAGAACACTGCAGTTGGACACTTTGACGCTGGTTTATGGAGAAACAGTTTTTTATTTATTTATTCTTATTTTTATGATTTATTAGGGATGCACGATATATYGGTATTTATATCTGTATCAGCCGAYATTGGTCATTTTTTAGAATATCTTTATCGGTCCGGTATGTAAAACTGGGCCGATATTAACGTCCAATATTGATTTCCCACTTTTTATCTTTGTGTTTCTGTTTTGGGAGGGGAGATGGTTGGTTGAGCAGCATCTGTTTGATCATGATRGTGATATTGATGCTGCGCAGCCAGGAATAACTGAAGCAGAGAGCCATGTCAGAGGTCTGGTTGTTTATTTACTGTATCAAAAAAAGGCCCAAGTATGTTTGTGCATATATGTATAATATAGTTTGTGTAATATCAGTAAATATCAGTTATCAGCCATAATAGCAATAATTATATCGGATATCGATATCGGCTGAAATTTTCGTATCGGTGCATCCCTAGGATTTATTC